TCTATTCTATTCTATTCTATTCTATTCTATTCTATTCTATTCTATTCCTATTTCTGTTCTGTTCCGTTCCATTCCATTCCATTCTAGTCCATTCCTTTCTATTCTATTCCATTCCTATTTCTATTCTATTTCTATTTCTATTTCTATTTCTATTTCTATTTCTATTCTATTCTATTCTATTCTATTCTATTCTATTCTATTCTATTCTATTCTATTCTATTCTACTCTACTCTACTCTATTCTATTTGTATTTCTATGCTATTCTCCACAACACAACTCCAAAGAGGATAAGAACTGCCCGAAACTCCGAGGTTGCTCCAGATGGTACATCTTTGCTACTACGGGGAACCTACTAGGTGTAGAAAAATCAAAGCGGGGTCCCCAGCCCCTCGGTGGAACGTCAGACGTCTCATTTCCTAAGGCTGCGGCTTCTCTGCCAGCTCTTTTATTGGCCAATTGGAACCCAACGGGCAGAGAAGGGAGAGGAGGGCCTGGGGGAAGAGCGAGGCCAACCGTTACCAAAGAGATGAGAAGGGAAAAAGTAGATGAAGTCTGGGAACATGCGTGCAAAATGTCTCAGACAAGACGCCCCTGTAATTCATGCGGTTTTAAAAATAATATTTTTTTAAAAAAAAACACACACAACCACCCTCATTTTGCAAGCATTCCTACATAAGGGGGCTGGATTGGCATATCCGGGCTGAGCTTTTTCAAGTGCTAACTATTTCTGCAGGGCAGCTTAGCAACCAGCCCCCGAAGGATGCAAAGCTGCCACGACACACCCCCCCCTCCCCAGATGCCAGCATAATTTTATTTTTATTCTTTTTTTCCTGCCAGCTTGGGGAGGCTTCAGATGTGAAGGAGCTGCTGAAGGGCACCGGATTTGGGGAAGCAGGCCGAGAGGCTGGCGAGAAAGGCTTAGGATCGAATCTCGAAAAGGTTGGAAAGTAGAAGGAAGGGACACTGAGGTTTCGCCAGGTGCGTTTCGGGGGAGGGACTCACAATGGATTGTGTTTCTGAAAAAAAAACAAAGCTAAGGGATCTAACCACCCATCAGGATAACAAGGTCCCTGTTGCTGAGCCTGTCTGCTTTGCCCAGATGAAGGGAAAGTTTAATTCCAACTCCCAGGACAAGCCAGGAGCCTCCAAACTTAGCAACATTGAGACTTATGGACTTCAACTCCAGATGTGATACCCAACACACATCCTCACGGTCTGTAGGGATTCGAATCCAGGTCATGGTGGTCCCAAAGGTGCTTTTTTTTTTTTTTTTCCAAGAGGCAACTGGACTTTCTTGTTTTTCTTTTGAAGATGTTTTGCTCCTCATCCCAGAAGCTTCTTCAGCTCTGATCGGACGGTGGGGAAGGGAAGGAGTTTTACTCCTTGCAGACAGCTGGTCATTTGCATCCTTTTTAGAGGGTCCTTGAGGCCACTTGGAGGCCTCAGGGTCACCTGGGTGGTGCAAATGGTTCCTGTAGTCTGCCATTTTCCCCCCCCTCTGGATATCCGTTCCTACTCCCACCCCATTCCAAGGGTGTCCATCCCAAATTGTTATCCCTAAAAGGAGGACCTGGATAAACCTCCAAGTGGCCTCAACGACCCTCTAAATAAAACAAGGGTCTTCACACTTGGCAAGTTTAAGACTGGTGGACTTCAACTCCCAGAATTCCTGAGCTAACATGACTGGAGGAGGAGGAATTCTGGGAGTTGAAGTCCACAAGTCTTAAAGTTGCCAAGGTTGGACACCCCTGCTCTAAATAAAACAAGGGTCTTCACACTTGGCAAGTTTAAGACTGGTGGACTTCAACTCCCAGAATTCCTGAGCTAACATGACTGGAGGAGGAGGAATTATGGGAGTTGAAGTCCACAAGTCTTCGAGCTGTCAAGTTGGAAGACCCCTGCTCTAAAAGAATGCAAATGACCAGCTGTCTTCAAGGAATATAAATCCTTCCATTCAGTGGTGGGAATTAATTTTTTTTTTTTACTCCCAGTTCTGTGGGGGTGGCTTGGTGGGCGTGGCAGGGGAAGGAGACTGTAAAATCTCCGGTCAGAGGTGGGATTTGCCGGTTCTCTGAACTACTCAAAATTTCCGCTACCGGTTCTCCAGAACGGGTCAGAACCTGCTGAGTACCCTCCTCTGCTTCCATTCCCCACTGAAGAGCTGTCAGAGTATATTCATGAACTGGAATAGAGCTTGGTAACAAGGTCAGCCAATGAATAGGCATAGCAACTAAGTCAGGCAATGAGGACTGTTTGGAAACTGAAACTAGAATTAGCCTAGGCGTGGCTCTATATATGAAGCTCTGCAACTCTGCAGCTATGTTGAGCTCTGAGTCTGTCTATTGAAAATGAAACGGCTTCTCTCCTCTTGCTTGCCTGCTGAACTAAAGTAAAAGAGAAACTAGCTTGCTTGCCTGCGGAAGACTGGAGCTCTGCTCTGCTCTGCACTTGCGACATGTTTCTGTCTGAGTGAAGGGAATAGTAATCATAAATAAAGAAATGCAGTAAAATATATTATAGCATTAAGTAGAGAGCTACTCTATAGGCCTTTGTTTTCTTGTATGTGTAGAAGTATTTCTGTTAAGCATTTATCACTCTACAGGCATTTCTTATCTTGCTGTTGTAAACAAGATTTCCTTAACCTTTCACTTGTTGCCAGAAAGACTTTTGTCTTTTGCAGGAAGGATGAAAATCTAAGTTAGAGAGTTTTAGAATAGAATAGAATAGAATAGAATAGAATAGAATAGAATAGAATA